AGCCGAAGAAGGCATATAATATGTTGTTGTTGTTGTTTGTTTGCTGTGTAACGAAGCACTCAGCAATATTGCAGCTATATGACGCGATCTGTAAATGATCGAGTCTGGACCAGACAATCCAGTGATTGACATCATGAGCATCGATCCACGCAATTGAGATACGATAACAATTGCATGAACCAAGTCAGCGAGCCTGACCACCCGATGCTGTTAAGCTACAGTCACACAGACAATGCAACCACGATGCAACCTCTTGACGACTGATTTCCTTTGCGACTGAATGGCGATCGCTGAAACCGGTGCAACTACTTCTGCCCATATCAGCATATTTGGAATTAGGGTATGACCGCCGATCAATCAGCGATAGGTTTTGCAACTTGTCAGTGATTGATCGGCAACTGTTCACCGCAGGTACGGCGAAATGTTTGCAACTTGTTGAGACCGGTGACTAGTCAGCGAATCTTCTTTGACTTGTTGCAACTTAACGGGGACTGGTCGATGACTAGTTGTCGATCGATCACCGATCAAAACATAATGCATAATAAAAGGGTGCTTTTCTGAATCAAATATTTTTCTTTGCAAGTTGTCAAGATGTTAACAGCAGAACAGTTGCAGTTGCTCCGCCTGCAAAGAATAAATAAAAATGCTGCAGTTGCTGCCATGTCGATGTACAGAAGAATGAGAAGGATAAGGTGAAGGCAGTATTGGCTGAGACCTTGGATCGCAAGAAGGCCACAGCTATGAGTGAGTGAGTGAGTGAGTGAGTGAGTTGGGTTTTACGCCGCTTTTAACACTATTCCAGTTACATCACGGCGTGTCAGCTTAATGTGGGAGGAAAGCCCGAAGTGATGCAGGTTTACCACTTCGGTGAAACCCACGAGCACGCGTATGGTGCTGACAAACCTAGAAACATAATCGGGGCGAACCAGGATTCGAACCCACAATCATAGGTTTCTGGCGTGCCCAAGGGACGCAACTCTGCACAGCGAATCGCGGCGCCTTAGACGACTGGGCCACCCATGCCCCCCCACAGCTATGAGACTATGAGAATCTGATGGCAGAGTTGGAGAGAGAAAGTCGTGGTGATTTCGTGGGTTACCTCCGCATGGAGCCTGTCAACATCGGACATCTCTGGCTCTTCCTCCTCACAGCAGTTGTCTCTACTGTATCTTCTACAATTTCTGGTTCTTTTATTTTCCTTCCTTTACGGTCCATAGTGATGAATGGAAATAATGGATGTGAACTCTCTGAGTACTTATGACAAAATGATGCTGTAATGCAACAGATGGTGACATGTTGCAAACCCAACGGAGAATGATCGACGCACGCTTGGAAACGACTTTGCAACTGATCGACAACAAGTCACCGATAAAGAGCCGGTTGATCACTGCCTCATCACTGATAGGTCGTGACTAGGTTGCAAGAGTCAACACCCTTGTGTAGAAGAAACCGATCGCCACACAGTGGAAACCAATCAGCGGTTTAAATAACACCACTTGGGGACCTCTAGGAGACCAATGAAACCTCCTAGCGACCAAATCGGTTGCGCGCAGCCAGTCTCTTGTGCATGTTCAAAAGACTGGTTGCGACCGAATGGGTTTTGCGACCGCTCTGGAAGCTTTCAGCGACCTCAGTGAAACCTTTCAGAGACCCCTGAAACCTTATTGCGATTGTCAAATATTTGGGTCGCCAGGATGTTGCATCGCGGTCGCATTGTCTGTGTGACTGAGGCTTTAGTCACCTCCAGTGACAAAGTCGCCCTTTACAGCAAGAAGACATGGGATGCATGAAACTGAAGGGAGAGGACACATGATACAGGGAGTTGAAAATGGCACAGGACATGGTCAAGACGTACAAAAACCCGGACAAACATCATGTCAACATAGTTAAAATGTACAAAACTTAACACATGTCAATCATGTCAACATGATGAAAATGTACACAACCTGATAAACATCATGTCAACATGATCAAGTTGTACCAAACTTGACAAATGTTACATGGAGACGTCCAGTGATTGATATCATGAGCATCGATCCATGCAATTGGGATATGATGACATGCATCAACCAAGTCAGCGAGCCTGACCACCCGATCCTGTTAGTCGCCACTATGACAAGCATGGATTGCAGAAGACCTATTACCGGATCTTCACGGGTCTAGTCAAGATGTACAAAACTTGACACATGTCATGTCAACATGGTCATATGTCCCGCCATCATGGGAAAATTGTTCACAACTTGACATATGTCCCGCCATCATGGTAAAATTGTACACAACTTGACATATGTCCCGCCATCATGGGAAAATTGTACACAACTTGACATATGTCCCGCCATCATGGGAAAATTGTACACAACTTGACATATGTCCCGCCATCATGGGAAAATTGTACACAACTTGACATATGTCCCGCCATCATGGGAAAATTGTACACAACTTGACATATGTCCCGCCATCATGGGAAAATTGTACACAACTTGACATATGTCCCGCCATCATGGGAAAATTGTACACAACTTGACATATGTCCCGCCATCATGGGAAAATTGTACAACTTGACAAATGTCACGTCATCATGGTCAAAACATACATAGCTTGACACATGTCACGTCACCATAGCCAAAACGTACACAACTTGACACATGTCACGTCATCATAGCCAAAACATACATAGCTTGACACATGTCACGTCATCACAGCCAAAACATACACAACTTGACACATGTCACGTCATCATAGCCAAAACAAACACAACTTGACATACGTCACGTCACCATAGCCAAAACGTACACAACTTGACACATGTGATGTCATCATAGCCAAAACATACACAACTTGACATGTCACGTCATCATGGTCAAAACATACACAACATGACACATGTCATGTCATCATAGCCAAAATGTACACAACTTGACACGTCATGTCATCATAGCCAAAACGTACACAACTTGACACATGTCACGTCATCACAGCCAAAACATACACAACTTGACACATGTCACGTCATCATAGCCAAAACAAACACAACTTGACATACGTCACGTCACCATAGCCAAAACGTACACAACTTGACACATGTGATGTCATCATAGCCAAAACATACACAACTTGACATACGTCACGTCACCATAGCCAAAACATACAAAACTTGACATGTCACGTCATCATGGTCAAAACATACACAACATGACACATGTCATGTCATCATAGCCAAAATGTACACAACTTGACACGTCATGTCATCATAGCCAAAACGTACACAACTTGACACATGTCACGTCATCATAGCCAAAACATACACAACTTGACACATGTCACGTCATCATAGCCAAAAAATACACAACTTGGCACATGTCATGTCATCATAGCCAAAACGTACACAACTTGACGCATGTCACGTCATCATAGCCAAAACATACACAACTTGACACATGTCATGTCATCATAGCCAAAACGTACACAACTTGACGTACGTGTCATCATCATAGCCAAAACGTACACAACTTGACATACGTCATGTCATCATGGTCAAAATGTACACAACTTGACACATATCTTGGATATCAGTGGGATAAAAACAGCAGCAACTACCTGGTTGGTTGGTTGGTTTGTTGTTTAACACCACTCTCAGCAATATTCCAGCTATATGACAGCGGTCTGTAAATAATCGAGTCTGGACCAGACAATGCAGTGATTGATATCATGAGCATCGATCCACGCAATTGGGACACAATGACATGCTTCAGTTCAACAAAGTCAGAGAGCCCGACCACCCGAACCCATTAGTCGCCACTTACGACAAGCATAGTCGCCTTTTAGGGCAAGCATGGATTGCTGAGGACCTATTCTACCCCGGATCTTCAAGGGTCCAAAACATTGAAGGCACAACAACCCTTGAGCATGTTGAGACACTAACTCTGGGGCACTGTTGATTATTTTACCACATACGGAAACTCATCACAATGAGTAATCCTAACAACCCTGCATGATATTTTGTTTTCTTGCCATATTAATCATCATTTTTTACATGCTTTGGTTGGGACCTGCTTGTCCAGCACAACAGACATTCTATCAGTATCAGTAGTGTTTGGAAATAAGCATTAAAGTCAAGGGGCCCTTGGCATGACCGCAAAATTGAAGGTTCTAGATATAGAGGGTCCCTAGATTAAAGCACTTAAGCAGGAAGCTTTAACATGTTTAAGGAAGCCTGTATCGCTGTGACAATTCATAACATCTTCATATCTTACTCTGAAAATAAAATAACTTGTACACCCTATAAGCACATTGTGTATTAAATATTGCCATGAAAACAGCAGATTTACTGTTGATATAATAAATGGTAACACTTAACTATGCTAAAAGGCCTATGTTGTAATTCTGCTGAATTATGACAAACTCAAGATGCAATATTTTGAGTAAAATCATTCACTGTCTTCCCGCAACCTGTACCATGTGTGAACAGAACAGAGCGAATTGTGATAACAAACCCAGCATAATGGCATCCAGGGATGTTTGTGTGTTACAATTAGAAGGGTATTTAAATACCTGGCCCTAACTGGAAACTGTCATCAAGATGTGAAAAATGACAGTCTACCAACGCATTTGTGCTTTGCTGCAAGAGAATACCTACTGTCTGACACACAATACTTCTGCGAGTTGTTATATTTGTAAACATGAATATTTGTGACGTGACCAATACGACACTCAGTTCGAATGCGATTAAAAACGGGCACCTGTTTGAACGTAAATAACATGTTAAAGGGGTTGTTGTCGTCCTTTGAAGTGTAATGCTTATACATAATTGTGACTGCATTTAGATCGCGAATTGATAGTTGGATATGAACGACGTAAAATATTTTTCCACATTGGGGATTCTGTCAAAATCTCCCATGTTTTAATTTCAAATGAGGTCATGTTAGAATGTCAAACGGTGCGTACACGTTTAACAAGGCAGTCATTTAATTTCACAATATTAATGTAAAAAATATTCTTACCTCTATCTTAATAAAACTGTCACATTATACAACTTATCTTCTTCACTGATCTCTTTAAAATTCTGCTTTTCAAATCTACGGAGTTAGCTTCTTATCCATATTCAAAGCACTTCCGCCATTGTCTGCTACCTGACCTCGTGCTGACCTACCACTAGATGGCGCACCAAAAGGAATCCCCATATCTATTTTTAGCATTACGTTACATCTATTTTTAGCAATGTTCACAGCTTTGAAAAGGGGAATTCCAGAGAAAAAGGGAATGAAACCATATCAATGTATGAAACAATTTTTTGTAACGATAACGTCGCATTGTATAATAAGCACGGCCAAAAATACCAAAACTATGTCCCCATTCGACCCAAACAGGCTAAGTACGTTATTAAAACACAAGGTGTAATTTATTTGTTTTTATAAATAACTTATCATAAAATTACTAACAGGAGCAATTATTTCTGATCTCGCTCGGATTTAATTAACCCGTTTTACAGTGGGTTTAGGACGTTTACCAGTCAATACCATTATTATGATATACTGTAAGTATACAAATACCCACCCTCCATACACAATTCAAATGGCCCAGTCGTCTAAGGCGCCGCGATTCGCTGTGCAGAGTTGCTCCCGAAACCTATGATTGTGGGTTCGAATCCCGGTTCGCCCCGATTATGTTTCTAGGTTTGTTAGCACCATACCCGTGCTCGTGGGTTTCACCGAAGTGGTAAACCTGCATCACTTCGGGCTTTCCTCCCACATTAAGCTGACACGTCGTTATATAACTCGAATGCTGTTAAAAGCGGCGTTAAACCCAACTCATTCGCTCATTCGCTACGCGTTTTTCTTGTAAAGAATTCGTCCTACTCTTAATCGTAGTTTCAAATTCCCATTTTCTTACCGCACGGCGTAAATCATCGGTTTAACGTTAAAAAATCTGAAAATTACACAAAGCGTCAACTTGAAAACAATCACCGTTAAAAGTGTTTCATGTACATATATAGTTCGTCTGATTGTGATAACTGATATCTGACAGTTTTGAGTATTAAAAAACACAAGTCTCTTGGTAAACGTCATTACACACGGATAAACAGTTAACAAGGTGACCTCTATGAACTATGTCCCTGTAGACGGAGTTGTGAGATGTGACCACGTGTGTGCATGGTGCCGAGTCTGAACTCGTCGTCGATGTCGTGGTTGAGTGGAGAGCATGGGTGAGCGGACGGGTGGCTCAGTTAGCTGGACGGGTGAGTTAGTGGGTGGGACCGAAGGGTGGGTGAGTGATTTGGACGGGTTGGTGAGTAAGTGGATGGTAGGTGAGTGAGAGGATGGTGGGTGGCTAGTCACAGTCCGCTGTCACCAAAACTACGGCGTTAATCATATTTTCTCGCCCACTTACCTACTCAACGGCTAGCCCCACCCATTCTACCACTGAGCATACAGACCCGTGAAGATCCGGGGTAGAATAGGTCTTCAGCAACCCATTCTTGCCGTAAAAGGCGACTTACAGGATCGGGTGGTCAGGCTCGCTGACTTGGTTGATGCATGTCATCGTATCCCAACTGTATGGATCGATGTTGATGTCAATCACTGGATTGTCTGGTCCAGACTCGATTATTTACGGACCGCCGTCACATAGCTGGGGTATTGCTGAGTGCGGCGTTTAACAACAAACAAACAAACAAACAAACAACCGAGCATACACTCCTGACATGCAGACTTTTACATGGAGATCCCAGGTGGCAGGGATGCACGTAGCTGTCTATTTCTAAATATTTTACAGCACTTCCTTCAATCGAAACCTTCGCCTCTAGAAGCCGTAGCCTGTCACACGGCCCCTCAGCCCTATCATTTTCCTTCCACCCTGTCCTTTTTGTGATGCTATAGCCCTAAATGAAGCAAGTCTAGATTTTCCTCAGGTTCTGAATCTCCCATCTCACTGGGGCTCCTTTTTCAATATAAATGTAGCTGCTTGTTTTTATCAAATTATATTTTTTCAGAGACTAAACGTTAGTTTAAGAAAGTCGGTGCAGTTTGTGATATCCAAGAAGTCAATTATCATGCATCACCCTCTCAAATAACGTTGATAACTATGAAAATAAATGATAAATAAGTTAATCAAATTGTATTAGTGTTCCTTAGCTAATAAAACAACTTCAATCAGTTCCTGTGTGTCAACAAATACGTATAATTTGTTTGAGGCTGGTCCCGATTGCAGTATATACCAACATTCCGATTGCTGATCATCTCTCCGAAGAATATTCTTCGCTTTTCTATTTTTTGGCCCTGTTCGTGTTAGCGCTGTGCGACTAAAGGGACACAACTCTTTAGTCCTTAGAACGTTTGGGTTTAAACTTAACACCGAGAATAAACTTTCGCCTCCAGAGCCAGGCATCAATTGCAAATAAAGTCACGAGAACTTCAGATTCACTCAATAGAAGAACACTGATGTTGACGTGGTTTGAATTCTTGCACCATATAAATGACCTGTCATTATTGCGAAATTCATCTCACATAGTCGACAACACATCATCAGTGGAATTGATTTTGTATAATATTTTTTATATTCAACAAAGAGCCTTTGCTGCCTTCAAGTTCTCACCACAGTTGAAGGTGTTGCGCCGACCAAACCAACTAACAAGGCGTGCATGAATTCCACGTGAAACCCGTGAAGATCCGGTGTTGAAGCTGTGAAAGGGGCGACTATGCTTGTCGGAAGAGGCGACTAACGGGATCGGGTGGTTGATGCATATCATCACATCCCAATTGCATGGATCGATGCTCATGGTGTCAATCATTGGATTGTCTGGTCCACACTCGATTATTTACAGACCTCCGTCATATAGCTGGAATATTGCTGAGTGCGGCGTTAAACAACATATAAACTAACTAACTTCCGTGTAAACATCGAGTCACATCAGAAGGGCTTGGACATGGTGCGATATCTCATTAATATTAAATGTTTAACTCCGGGACGATACCTCTCTAGGGGAACATCTGACAACGAACCCAGTAGGATATAATACCACATTTGATATTTTATTACATTATAGAATTTACAAAGAAACCTTGTCCAAGATGTTTAAGATTTGCCAAAGCAATTGCGATATTTCTGAAGGTGTTTCGATACTTTAAATGACATTGAGAACAGGAATCAGGATTACCTCGACTGATGTAAATGCTGAAAACATCTACGAGAGAACACTATGATTAGATACGAGATTAACGCTCCAGTACCGACAGTGATATAAACACTAATTTCTAATCGCTAACGAATAGTTGTTTTACAGCTTCAATATACATGCACGAAATTCGTTCTTTTCGGCGATTACAGGCAAGGACAAACTATTCTGAAGGCACCAACTGGATTCAACATTCAACCAGAAGCACAAGTGTGTCCGCCTCGTGAACCGGAAGACGTATCAGCGTGATGCTTGCCACGCAACGTATTCAGATCGCCATTGCTGCCCGGACCGGAAGTAACAACGGAAGAGCGCGAGTCCTTGATTGGGTCGGCTACCGTTGGTTTGTCATGTTGAGTATTGAGTATCTTCCTGTTTAGTTTGAATGCCCCTTTAATGAGTCTTCCTGAAGAACTTTATTTTGTTGGTTTGGACAGAAATGAGAGTTTGTCTTTATTCGGTTTAAAGAAATACAATTCTCTTATCTGAAGGGGGCACGGGTGGCCCAGTCGTCTAAGGTGCCGCGATTCGCTGTGCAGAGTTGCGTCCCTTAGGCACACCAGAAACCTATGATTTTGGGTTCGAATCCCGGTTCGCCCCGATTATGTTTCTAGGTTTGTCAGCACCATACCCGTGCTCGTGGGTTTCACCGAAGTGGTAAACGTCTGAGACCTGCATCACTTCGGGATTTCCTCCCACATTAAGCTGCCACGCCCCGATATGACTGGAATACTGTTAAAAGCGGCGTTAAACCAAACTCACTCACTCACTTATACGAAAGAAAGAGTCGAAAACTGTTTCAATACATCCAGTGTACCTTTTGTTTTTAGCATAGTACTCCCACCCCATCCCATCCTGTTCTCACACGCGGGAATATCAAATACTATTAGTCAGTCCCAAAGGACAAGGGCGCCAAAAAAGGCAATACAGAGAATTGTATCAAATCTGTAGTACACAATTTGTATTTTGGTTACTACTAAAACTCAATTGGCCAATAAGAACACGCTCTGATTAACCGTTTTCTGTATCAGTTAAGAAAATAATACTACCATAGTTGGTGAGGTGAGGTGAAATGGGGTTTAACGTCGCGTCCAAGCTTATTGCACATATATATAGCGACATGCATGTATGTGTGTTTGTGTGGCTTCTTGTACTAGTCCGGACTGATGCCGATTTATAGTGCTAGCTCACTGAGATACCATGCCGCAGTTTAACATGAATACCCCACTCAGACACAGTTTACTGACTCCGAGCCGACCAGTCCTTGTTTTAGTCCCTTAATGCCGAGCGCCAGACAGGGTAACAACAAGTACCATCTTTTAACGTCTTTTGGTATGACGCGGCCTGGAATCGAATCCCGGACCTTTCGGTCTCCGGGCGGACGCTCTACCTCTAGTCCATGGAGGCGGTCAGTACCATAATTGACCTCCATTGTTAATTTAGTACTCATCCCGTGATTAGAATTGGTCTTCAGCAGCCCATACTTTTCGTAAGAGGCGACTAACGGGATCGGGTGGTCAATCTCTCTGACTTGGCCAATGCACGTCATCGAATCCCAATTGCGTAGATCAATGCTCATGATATCAATCACTGGTCTGCCTGATCCAGACTCGATTATTTACAGACCACCGTCATATAACTGGAATATTGCTGAGGGCGGAGTTGAACAACAAACAAACAAAACTTTGTTAACGATAATAAATACATAATATAAATCCGACTCTAGCAGTTATTATTATGATGATGCAACCTGGATATACTGAAGTTTCCAAACACAAGTACTTTGGTCGCATTTGGTGTTGATGTTTGCTTGAACCCATGAACATGTGATGACCTTATATAACTGAGGGTAAAGGTCAAAGGTGAAATGTTTTATGCGTCACGTGCGTTACATGCATGCAGCACGTGGAACAATGAAGCAATGTATACTGTAACAATTACTGTCAGCTATCATTGAAAGTTCAGAGT